GAATATCTTTTCTTGATCTTATATAAAGCATTAGATGCCTATGAGAGACTATTTCGAACATAATCCTTGAGTCGGGTACAATTTAAGGACTAATCGAAAAGAAATTTCCCAAATTATTTAAAGAAAATTACAAATCGTTCATAGAAAGATATGTTCGAATTTTCTTCTTCGTAGTGGAGTTTCGACCCTCGTTTTTAGCAGAAATGATACCGCAACCCATATTCTAATCTCTTTAAGTTATGTACCGGAAATATCAATTAGAATTTTTAACTATCAAGATTTCGTGTGTGTTCCGTAAATTTAATTTTCCACTAAATTAATAATTTACAAGATTAATTAGTTAAGTATAATGTATAAGATAAGATAAGTATAATGACATAAGATAAGTATAATGACATTATACATAGTCTGACATTAATACATTGTCAGAAAAATTAGTTCAAAAGTGAACCATAACATCGACATCTCGAACCATGACATGGTACAATTTTGCTGAACCCTTAAATTGTGCCATGTTTTCGTTCGTGTTAGACCTTTGTTTATGGTAATCCAGAATGAGAGGTAATATGGTTCAATATAGCATTATATTAAGGTTACAGCAAATAGGAACGATATTATGCTCCAATATTTCTTATGTAGTAAAAATAAGTTCAATAAGTTATCGTAACAATGAAATGTATAAGTTTGTTCAATAATTTATAAAATATAGTAAAGATAAAATAAGAGATACATCTATCAAAATATTCTATTCCAAAAAAGACCAAGTTCGTCCTGTTTTACATGATTAATGAGTTTATAGTAATGATAAGATTAATAAGTCGTAGTAAAGATGTATAAGTTATGGAAAACACAAGATTAATAATTTATAGTAAAGATGAGATTAATAATTTATAGTTAACAACAGTTGTCCGATTCCTTAAAAGACCTAATTTGTCCTTCATTCATAAGATTATTGAGCTATAAAGGTAAGATTAATAAGTTATAGTAAGGATAAAAATAATAAGTTATAGTAAGGATGAGATACATAAGCTATAGTACGGATAAGATACATAAGTTATAGTAAAGGTAAAAATAATAAGTTATAGTAAGGATGAGACACATAAGTTATAGTAAAGATAAAAATAATAAGTTATAGTAAGGATGAGATGCGTAGGTTATAATAAAGATAAAAATAATAAGTTATAGTAAGGATGAGATACATAAATTATAGTAAGGATGAGACACATACGTTATAAAAGATAAAAATAATAAGTTATAGTAAGGATGAGATATATAAGTTGCAATAAAGATAAAAATAATAAGTTATAGTAAGGATGAGATACATAAGTTATAATAAAGATAAAAAAAATTAATAAAGTTAAATAATTAAATTATATTTTTATACTTTTGTGCTCATCGATATTTTCTAATAACTTATTTGCCTTTCTTTATTCAGATATCATTCCTGCAAGATACATTCTGACATTTTTAATTTTCTGCGGCATGTGCCTCATTTTCGGACAAAGAGTGTGCCTGAATGTTGCCATGGTGGCCATGGTAAACAGCAGTGCTGAGGTTGAAGTTATGAGCATGGATTCGGACACAGACGAGAGCCGTTGTCCGGTCCCTGAATCAAGCATGAACGTCACGCTTAAATCCAAACAGGTACGCATCTGTTGTGTCAAACCACAACAGAAAGCATTTTTTTTCTCATCTAAATATTAAATTACGTAATTAATTTCACTTTGATAGTTATTCTATAATGATCATCCTTAATACATAAAATATTAAGATTGTTTGTAATGCTTGTTTAAATTATCTTTGAAAATTGAAAATATTATCTGGATTTTTCAGGGCAGTTATCTGTGGACGCCGTCAATTCAAGGTGTTATCATCGGTTCCTATTTTTATGGGTATGTTGTGGCTCAGATAGTCGGAGGTAGACTGGCTGATATTTTCGGAGCCAAGAGACTGTTCGGCTGCGCTACTTTTCTATCATCCGTCATTACATGTCTGACGCCGTATGTATCGAGCCTAACACCCATTTGGATGATTGTTCTTCGAGTTCTGCTTGGTTTCGTTCATGTAAGTAAATACTTGAGTGTTTAGTTCGAAAGGAAAAATTGTTGTTAATAAGTTAATCTTCATTTACGTTAAATGGTGAGAAAAAACCACGAAATATTGAGTACCTGTAAAAAGTGGGTAATTACCATTGAGAATATTTAATTCCTGTGGTCAGTGTGATTAGTGACCGCGGAAGCATCTCATAAGTGGGAGGGCTGTATCCGCCCTGTAAATATATATATATATA